CTCTTCTTTGATGACTTCAAAGCGCTGCAAGCCGCGTTTCAAAGAGAGGAACGTTGAATATTCGAAAAATTCGCAGAGTATGGATCGCGCAAGTGTGAGCTAGACATTAAAAAATATGTGTAGCATTGTTGTAATTTTTTGCTCTGCGGATTCAACGTCACAATTGCGCTTATGTCGAAATACGATGGAAAAAATTCGTGCTCAGCGGAGTATTTCACTCCTTTTCTAAGCCGAACACTACGCCACTCCCTCTCTTGCAAAAACACTCCGATTTTGAGATTATCAGAAATAAATAGTTACCATGAAATAAAAATGAATGACAATATACCTACTAAGATTATAAGTAAGTTATTTGCAAAAAAATAATAATTTGGAAATACCTTAATCACTGTTTATAAAACGGTTAAACATTTTTATTCAATGTTGTCTGACTATAAAACGACATTAATATGATCATCGAGAAAGAAAATAATGGGGATTTCGTTTCTTTAAAAAATTGTTGTTGCACGTGCCATATGTGTTTGATGTTACACTCAACCCTGTAAAAGGGCATGTTTTTGCTTTCTTCACCTTGTCTAGCTCAGGTATTTCATAATATTGTCGTAATAAGTAACCATCTGATTTCCTGGCAAAGCTTTAAAAGCCAGAAAATATGCCTTTATTGCCTTAAAAGAGTGGACATTTTAAGAAACGAACACAACATTTTTAACCGTTTACCTTTTTTTTATAATCGAACACGAAAAGAGAAAAGGAAAATCAAAAGGCGAAACTTTTTGGTAGAAACGAAAACACCAGAAACTTTCTTCTATATAAGATAAACTTCGCTCATACTTTGTATGGAAAAAATGCATAGAACCGTTTGCAAAACAATATGAAAACTCAACGCAAATACTCAGCCACTTCAGATTTGCAGAATATTATACGAAAATTGAATGGGCTAAGAAGCAGCATACTGATTAAAAAGTTGTAAGTTTTGATGAAAATTTTTTGAACTTTCCTTAATTTTGTATAAAATTGGAAACTTTGATTTAAATAGTTTTTTTATAACACGAACCATATTTAAAAACAAATAACAAAATTTCAACTTTGTATGTTTATAACTAAGGTGACCAGATGAGTCGAAAGAAAAATCAGGACACTGCTTTTTGAAAGGTAGCACAATCACTTTCTTTTCCATCAGACTTGAGTTTTGAAATGATTGTTTTTACGCTCAATGGTAAGAATTGAGAGTTCTCAGTTGAGAGTTGTGGGATGTAGGCAAGTGCATGCGACGCTGTGAAAATCTTTTTCTAGGTCGCCAACAAAAGCTCAACACCTTCATTAAGTACAATAGGTAGGATGCTAAGGATATAGATCAATAGCATATCATATGGCATCTTCATTCGCCACAGTTCTGACAACAAACCTACAACTGGTTCTCTATTTATGTGCTAGTGACAATAGAAAAATCTTGTACGTGTATTTTGGTATCGGTCAATCGAGTTTTGCAGGGATGTTATTATGTGAACAATGTACGATATTTTTATGCACTAAAAAGTCATAGAAAAATTTTGGAATTAGAAAGAAATGTTAAATTATTTTATCGCTATTCACAACCGTTAAAAATTTTTCTGTTTGCAACAACGGCATGTTTTCATTTGAATAAAAATGATTGCTCCGACGGTGAACCTTTGCCGAGTTATGCTATTTACTTTGTCCCTGAAAGATGAACTTAAATTGTTTTGTCAAATGTCCACAGATATGTACTTCTTCCAAAGTTTTTACTTTGACACTACGGAAAACCAAAAACACTCCACTTTTTGGCTCATTTCACTCCGATAGTTTTATTTTTTTGCCACTAACGATGAGTAGTGGTAGTTTTTCTCTAAAGCGGCGTTTCCACGCCAACCGTATCACGTGGTTCGCTCTCTCAATTACGAACGGCGTATCAACCTGTTTACACGCCACATTCTTGATTTACTTTGCATCTCTGCTTCTTGTTCTTTGCTTTTGTTTATTGCTTAGTGTGTTGTTAATTGTGCATTTCTACGGTGGAGGAAAAATGTGTAGTGATTAAATAGCTAAATCAATAGTTTAAACTAATCTAGCTATTTTTTTAATGTTAGTGCTGGTGGGGATGTGTGGTCTGTGTGTTTTGACAGCCGTTGTCGATAAAAATTAGAGAAAACAATGATTTGTTCGTCATTCGCATGGTTCTGAATTACCTACAAATGAAGTGATTCGCTTTCAAACTTTTGTATGGCGAATTACGTGATTCGGTTCGTGATTGGGGCGCCAATCCGGAATGAGAGAGCGAATTACGAATGAGAGAGCGAACCACTTGGCGTGGAAACATCGTTTAAAACGCTCAAACTATCGATAGTACTAGTTGCCTATCGATAGTTTAACACCTTTAGCACAGCCGATTTTATTCATAACTAGCAAATACCCGGCGAAGTTTACTGCGCCTAGAAGTATTTTTGTGCTGTTTGATACCCGTACTGTAATATTTCACTTATTATATCAATTTAATAGAATACAAATTTTCAAACGGGTTGTAACCCTCCTCTAAAATATTTTCGGCAGTAAAGCTCTTCATTTTGATATCTATATTGGAGCATTAAATTTTTCTTATTAATTGAATTGAACAGGTGGCAACCCTCAACAAAAACGTTTTCGGCTGTAATCCTTCTAAACCTTTTTCTTTTGACAGTCATATTACAATATTTTCTTTTTATTATTATTTTTCATTAGACCTCGGTGAAAACTGCGCTCAATTCCATGCACTAGTTTTCGGGTGATGCGCGTACAAACATACAGAAGGACAGAAAAAATTCTAAAAAATGTTGATTTATCTTCTGTTGCTCAAATAAAGACCTCCCAAATTGATATTTCTTTAATATTTATAATGTACGGACATCGGCCTGTTACAATTTTATTATTTGTATAGATTTCTCCATTTTGTGTACCTGCTCGACGCTTTGGTAAGATTGTAAATATTTTAGTATAAGTGATTCTAAGGGCAGTTTGCCTAATATAAGCATGTGGGCGACAAATTTGACAGTCTGTTAAAACACCGGTTATCTTTAACTGACAGTCTATAACACAGTCCTTATGTGAAATTTTGATATAACAATAAAAATTTATTTCGGTACAAGTTAAGAACACAGCCCATTCGGGGCAGACAAATGGTTAATAGTGGGACTCATGAAACGTCGCAAAGTTGTTGCAAATGTCGCATTGGTTGCAAAATTTGCCACCTTGCGACACAGCTGATTACTTTTGTATGGAAACTTTCTTGCGACAACAGTGTGACATTGCCATGTTATTTCAGCTGGTAATCATTGCAAAGTCAAAGTCGCGAAAAACACGTTCTCTTATTGTCTTCGAATACCTCAAGAAAAAGTATATCAGTTAAGGCTGCTTCGAAATATAACTGTAAAAACTTTTCATTTCGACTTACACGAGACATTTAAAAAAAAATGTATTTTGCAATCCGGAGTTGCAATAGGTCGTTCATACAACTTTGTTTGCAACGTTGCCAGTTCGCCAAAAATGCCATTTTGTGACGCTTTATGAATCGCACTAATATGTACATATATCAATAGTACTTTCTAGTTTCTCAGATTTGTCTCTTTGTTTTCTCAAGCAACCTTTAATTTTAAAGCTCAATTTATATTTAAAGGTTGCTTTAAAATTTACAGATATATCTAAAGTAAATCAATTCGACGTCTCTTGGGTGTAAATAAATTAAAAACAGAGAATTAAATGATTTACTTTCGGCAAAACTACATATAAATATTACATCAACCCTTAAATATAAAGTGAGCTTTAAATTTAAAGGTTATTTGAGGAAACGGCCCTTTGTTTATCTGCGCTTCAAACACATTTTTCAGAACCAAATTTGTGTTTAAATTGCAGATAACTTTTAAAACCTACTTGAGAAAACGGTGTGTGTGTTTATATTCCTAATGAAATGTTTTTTTTTTGTATTTCGATGCCGTCCCAGTTAACATGGAACAGTTGTTAGCATTTCCATTGACTATCGATAGTAGCGCTTGCCACTATCGATGACATTGATAGTATAGACCCTGCAAGAAGCCTGACCAATGATTATCGGTTAAATTATTGGGAAAACTGACTAAAACTTTTCGTCAGTTTAGCGGTTAGTTTTGTATGGGCTTGGGGAAAAAGTGACCACTTCTCCACGCGTGTGATATGCATCCCTTTCTTGCACACACATGGGTGCATTTGCCTTACAGTATGTTCACTCGCTCATACATTTCTTCTAGTTGGTGATGTACAAGTGAGTTTAGCGACGAAACTATTGGGAAAATATCACGATAATTAGTGATTTTTCTGGCCACTATTCTAACTTCTAAATAATTGATAAATTAATGAATAGATGGCAGCGAAATATCAAAATATAGATGCAACCAAATTAAAAATGCAATTCGATTTTGTTTATGTGTTTGTTTTATTTATAAAAATATATTATCGCAAGCTTTTTTAGGGCTACTGAGCTCAGACAATTCTTCTAATTTATCATCGGTTCTGAATTTTCGTCACTAAAAACAAATTCTTCAGCGCTGTTTGGTCCTTCTTCCTCCATTCCTAGGGCTGGAGTCCCACGTTGGCGTTGCATTGTATTTCAGCACTGTAGTCACTGACTCCACAGTCGGCCTAAGCGCCCTGGCCTCAAATGTTTTCTTCTCTATCCAAATACAGATTGAATACACTGGTTTCACCGACTTCTTCTATATTTTGCACCACAGCTAACAATGAAGTAAATTTTTTTCATGTATGTATGTATGTACATATGTAAGCGAGCGTACAATCGATAGTTTGTTCTCGATATGGTCAGCCATGGTGGCCCTATCGATAGTTTTACAATTCTACTATCGCGTTGGTCTGCGCAGGCTTTTAATTGAAAAACACTTATGCGTCACTGTCGCGATCGCGTTGGTGTGCGCCTAGCTTAAAGCAACCAAATCCGACTGGCATTCTACATACACCAAGAATGATAGAATACAAGATTGCGCCGTCCTGGCCGTTGACATTTGTGTACCACTAGTAAACAAAGAATAGAGACAAAAGTAGAACGAGTTCAAACTGTCAAAACAGTTCACTTTACAGCGAAAGTGGTGTTTTAATTTTGATCAATGCGAGAATATTGCATTTTTCATCTAATCTATTGGAGAATAGTGAACGTTTTAGTGCACTCCATGCTTTGCAATTAAGGCTGCTGCAGCAAACGTTTTAGTGTACTCCATTGCTTTGCAATTAAGGCTGGTGCAGCAAACTGCGCCAGCATCTGAGTGGGATTGATTAGTTAACTTGCTAAAGGAGGCTGCTTGGAGCAGAACCGATATGATTGTGATAAAATGCTGTAAATATAATAATAAAAAAACATTTCGGCTTTGGCACGCCCTGTATACACAAAATGCAGCGATTCGTCGCAGCGTTACATTTGCATCTACGCATAATGAGATGGGGCACCATGGCACACTTCATGGAAGGACAACAGCGCGAATCGGAGCCATGCAGTGTGCATGAGTGCAGTACTACCAACAGCTGTTCCTGCAAATCGTGAATATCGTGAAGCATCTGGAACGCAACTATTATTTCGTACCTTGGTCGTTTACGCAACATACCTGAAGAGCTGGAACAAAGATATAAATCACAGGGATTGATCCGGCCCAATAAATATGCAGGTTAATTGGTGATAATTGAAAACGCAATTTCTATAATTATGTATTTATGTTATACACATTTGTAAATATAGGGAAAACTTTTGCTTTTTGTCGCAGGCGAATCGAGAAAATCTACTTTCCTCAAAGAGATGCGTATAATACGCGGCATTATTTATGAACTCGACCTTTTTCCAGAATACAGTGAGAAGTGATATATCAAAATGTATTACGAGGTAAGCTTTAAATCATATTTCCAATAAGATCTGTAAAAGAACTAATCAGGAATCTTTGTTTGAAGGAAAGCACGTATTGATTGATGCTCGTCAAAAACTGGGAATCCCATAGGGAAACACCGAACAAGAAACAATGCGAAATAGGCGAAATTAATTGAATGTAGTAAAGTGGAAATCGACAATTTCATACAGTGGGCTCCATATATTCGTAGACTATGGCAAGATCCTTTTGTAGTTTTCTACTTCAATATTGACATAACTCCAAAACCAAACGCTCGAAAAAACTGTTTTCAAGTTTTGAATTTTACCTTAATTTAGAAAGGCCCCTATCGTCGTTAATTTGCGGCCCTGAAAAGGGCCTTTTGCACATTTCCATATACATATGCATGTAAACACAAAAATGATGGCCTAATTTAATTTGTACTTTTGAAAGCATAAATAATTGTCTCTTTGTAAATTAATTGGCGGCCCTGAAAAGGGCCTTTGATTCATTCATGTTATTCTCCTGCAAATAAATAAATATGGATATTTTTTTATACAAGATGCCAGATTATTTGTTAAACTCATAGGCTTACGTTGCATCCATGCCTTATAATTTTAGGCGGCTTAAACATTGAGCTTACTTTGCGGGAACTGCGGACGTTGCTGCATGCTACAATCAAAGAACTTTTAATTTCTACGGATTTATACAACATTTCAGTTGACAACTTACCGTATGTTTTTAGTACGTACTTACAGTTTATAATGGTACCATATGAATCTAAACCAGAGTTTTTTTAATTTTTCTTTTTTTCTTGTGGGCATTTTCAATGAGTTCTTTATTTAATTTTCTTATTTTAAAGAACATTCTTGCCCTGAAAAATAATTTTTTCACTTTAATGTCGCAATGAATTTTCGAAGCATGCTCAATGTGAGTTTTTACAAAATCATTTGTAATGAGCAAGCCATCTTCGTTCATTGCTTTAAACACTGACTCTAGATTTTTCATATGGTCCATCATAGATGAACTTGGTATTGACAACCCACCCTCGCTTAGGTGACTCGCCCAGGAACATGAGTTGTCATTGCTACCAAACGACGTGCTTGGAATATCATCCTTTAACCTGTGGCAAATATACCCGGCTAAATGCTCCAGTCCGTCAAATTCCAATTCGTCGAATTCCGCCTCTTCCACCGGCCACAGTTCTTTATTAGAACTCAGGTTTTTTAGCAAAATACCTGTAAATATGGCGATACATTAGGGATGTAATCATTAATACTACAATATATTTATATAATAAATAGTAATAATAATTAATAGTAATAATAATTAATAGTTAAAAAATTATGTTAAAGTACTTGTAAGAGGCGGCTGGGTGACTTCTAAATCTGGCGTATCATCCTCTTCTACGTTAGCAGAGTCGGATAAGACGCCCTTGTTATGTCCCAGCAAGTAGAGCCTCAAACGGTATTTAAATTCCTGCTGGTCAGGGTGATCATGCAACCCGCCTTTCGAACGAATAATTCCGAAGAAGTTTTCCAGAACGTCCTGGTTGAGGCGATACGTTAACACATACTTGATTTTAAATCGAGCTTTAATATCCTCGAACATCAACTTTAACGCTAAATTCGTTTGTATGATTCCTTTAGGCAAAATGAAAAAAATTAATATTTATCTTGAGAAACACATATTAGTTTACCTTTTTGGAATGGCAGCAGACTGAATTTGCCAATCACCCTCATACTTTTTATTAGGTTGGTCATTTCGTCAAGGATCTTGTCTTGCTCCTCGAGCGCTAGACCATATGCAAGACGCCGCTTCCTGGAGTCGGCGTGGGGAACCCTGACGTTTAAAACATCAAACCAATCATTCGTCTATGGTGTATAATTTTAACATACGTTTTAATATTAGGGTTTAAATATGTATGTGCATATGTATATGCATATATGTATGTGCATATATTCACATATAATTCACATATATATATGTATATAGGAATATCAATAATACATACTGTTTTAAACAGTTGGAAGCATTCGGCCCAGTTTTGCTTCTGCAGGTGACCCACACTTGCTGCCCTTGTGATGGCCTGCGCTACAGTGTGCGAAAATAATTTTGCAGCCGTCTTGACCTTTTGGCGGTGAGCTCCAGCCACGGTCAAGTTACTTGCTGAAATCTTGTGAGTTATTGTCAAGTCCGTGCTTGTAATTGACAATAACTCCAAAATTATTTCCTTTTTCACAGGTTTCCCATTAATTAGGAAACCTTGATCAAGGAAATGATTTCGCAAAAGTTTTAGCAAGTGCGGCACGTCAGCGAAAACGTAAACCTTTTGGCCATTGAAAATAAACCTATGGAAATGAGAAGTATTAATAGGGACTGAAATATGAATATACATCTAATTATCATTATTTACCACGGCTGGTCTTCGTTTACGCCGAGATCATTGAAAAGCGACCTATTGGTACCTCCTAAATCACATACGACAGTCACTGCATTGTAGCCACAATCTTGCGACTTCTGCAATATGCTTTGCAGCAAAACGGAAGTCATTTTGCAGTCAAAGTCATAAAAGACTGGCTGTTTCCACTTTGCCATGAGACCTGAAATATATAAGGGCTTTACAAATATTTTATATTATTTAGAAAATCTTTTCTGTAATATTTACCTCTTAACATCGCTACCTGCACATAGTTGACGGGTGCTAATGTTGAGTCCGACGAAACATCATAACAGTAAGATTGTCTTACTTTCATTTCGTCGAAACTCAACACGCATAGTTTCTGTGCCTCGTCCATATGGGTAGCGGCTGCCAACAAGCGGAAGACTGGGTTTATAAGTCCGCGCGAAATCTCCACTTTTTGTGCCCAAGTCTGCAGTGTGCGAACTCCAGGTAGTGGAAAACATTGCTTATACAGCAGCCTGTATGCCTTTGGACTGGCAGCATACAATGTAATTGACTGTGCAATATCCTCCTCCGCCCAATTTCGTCGCTTCGACCCAGTCTTCAGTTTGTCTATCTGACCTTTGGTGAATATAGAAGCCAGTTTATCTTCTATATTTCCCATTTCGGCAGCCATTGCATCCAAACTCTTTTTCAACAGCTCTACTGCCCACGCGTGCTTCTTCAGCTGAAGGTCAGACTCCCGCTTTAATGTAGCGATCTCGGTACTCTGCTTAGCGGTTTGCGTTTGCTTTTTGAGGATTGCATTTTCGCGCTTCAATGTCGCTCTGCAAGAAGTAGAAAATATAAGTTATGATTTGATTTGCACATTATGATCTTGAAATTATTAACGTACACTTCCGCTTTTAACATTTCCACTTCTTGAAGATCGCCGTCATAGTAAACCCAGTTACGAATTGGTGATGTCGAAGCATCAAGAGTACCGTCCTTGGGTCGATATTCTGTATTGCTTTCAACCACTGTAACAAACCCCTTAGATTAATAATATAATTTTAAGGGCGTACTATTTTTACTACCTTCGCAACTACCTAGCTCAAGCACCTCCATATTGTGGTCATCATGCGGTTGAGACTCTGCTACAGGTATAGCACACACAGAAATGGATGGCACCGCATCGCGCCTGAGTAACGGGCGTTTAGCCAATCCTAATCCTTTTATTAGATATCTACGTAATTCAAAGTAAATGCTACTTACCCGCTTTGTACTGCATAACATTTTGATAATCATCGTCGGTAAAGTGCTTCATGCATATGAAGCTGGTATCCAAATTGAATGGCTTTACTTGTCCGCAGAATTCCACCCACTTTCTCGCCACGGCATCGTTGCGAGGAAAGGAAAAAAAGCTGCATTTAGAGGCACTACCTTGACGGCTGTCGCAATTTAATACACGGAACTTCATTTTATCAGTTTTTACACACTACTCAACTGAAAAATCACTAAAAAATTGCAAATTAACACGATTTTAACCGATTTTTCACTAATAATTCAAATTTCTCTATGCAACTTATTTGTAAACAAAAGTTTATTTACGAGTTACCACAACTGTCAAAATCGGCAAAACCAAAGTAGCGGTACCTCTGACGGCGCCACCTTTGTTTCGCTGCACCGTGTACATACACATATACATATATATATTTGCATGCCATCAAGGCGAATTAATACAAGATGGTAGCAAGAATACAACAACAACCACATGTATTTTGTATTGCAGGTATTTGGGGTGTTCACATTTCGTTCCAAATTGTGTCTGAAAATGTAGACGTCTACATTTTGAGACATTTTTAGCATCAAACTGTGAGCACCCCTTTCTAGCAGTCGTCGCAAAATCGTCTCAAAACTTTGCTGGTGTTGCCAGACATTTCTTGTTTGCGTGCATTGTTTATATGTCGCCTTTCGATTTTGTTTCTGAAAAATTGTAATTATTTAACTTAATTACCAATTCGTAATATTTGTTATTCCTTTTCCTTGATTTGTTTCTTTTCATCAGAAATTGCGCTCAAATTAAATGCAAATACGGAAAACGTGCCCAATAAATAAAAAAAATGTGATTAGTATTGCCATAATGCAACCCTGCTGCGAGGTTGCAAAATGTAGACGCGTAAAAAACATACCTTTGAGTGTGACAAAATGTAGACGGCGTCGTTTTCCAATTTTGTATGGGAAACAACAACACCACAGATTTTACGGTTAGAAAACGTCTTAAAATGTAGACGTCTACATTTTGAGACACTATTTGGAACGAACTGTGAACACCCCAATTATGTTTAATCTCAATTCGCCCCAAAGTTTGAGGCTGCCAAATCAGTAAAAGCAAAAACAAAATACATGTAAGGCGAAGAAATCAGCTGATATAACAACACCACCAAGGCGAATTTAATAAGGTGATGCTAGCCGCATATAAGTAAAAAATTACACTAACTAATTATACGCTGATATTCATACTATCATTATTACAAATTACAACAAATACATCATTTTGATGTAATGTCTTTCATGGCGAAATATTCAGGTTCGCCTTTAACCTTATTGAATTCGCCTTGCATGCCACTTATGCCTTGGTTATAATGGACGGGGCGAATCGTAACAAATCGCTGCGAATTCGTAAGGATCTATTGATTTTAGATTGTTACATACAATAGATAATTAAGTGACAGTTCACTCCGTTCCGTTACTTCCATTATAACCCAGGCATTATGAAAATGTGCCACTGGCAGTGTTG